CCCCTCCCGTCCAGCAGAGGTAAGTTGCTGGCACGGCGCTCATGAACCGGCGGCTGGGTGGACAACAGCTTTATGAAAATATCGCCACTTGTGTAGCTTATCGATGCTCCGCCCGTCTTAAGCTAAGGCATACAGGCGATGTGCGTCCAATAGACGCAATACTACTGCATCAAAGCTGTCCCTGAACTGTCAAACTGCCTGACATTTTGTGTGGTGCGTGCCTCTGCCAGACCGAAGGAGTTTATCGACTGCGTGTCTCACATCCGGCTGCTCTCGTGGCTGCTGCTGGGCGCCATGACACACGCCGCCGTCATGGGCCCGCACGCCACCGTGGTGAGTCGGTGCAGCCTGCTCTCACCCTGCTGGATAAGCCAGCGGCCGGCTGCTCCCGTATCGGCTCTACTGATAGTTTGTCGCAGTGAATTCATCGAGATATTTGCCGTGTATTACCACTCAACATAGCTGATTTGTATCCGTTTGGCCGCTTCTGATTGTCCGCCAGAAGGATTGCTCTGACATTCCGGTGCCTTTAGTCGGTGTTCGGCTCGCCGCCTGCGCCGGCCGGTCTGGCGGCGGGGGCTGTGATGGCGCCGGTCACGGGCGCGGCCGTGCTGACCCCAGCCGCGTGGCCGGTCTGCGGACAGACGTGCCAGCCGGTGCCACTGGAGGCCAGCTGCCACATCGCCGACCACATCCAGGTGATCCTGGCGGGCTTCGCCGAGCAGAGCAAGGCGTCTGTGCTGCACATGAGCTCGCTGTTCCACGCGTTCATCCTGTGTCAGCTGTGGACCATGTACCTGGAGGTGGTGTCGGCTGGCCAGGCGCCGCCCGGGCACGAGCAGCACCAAGCGGCGCTCGCCATCCTGGCCGACTTCTGGGCCAAGGTCACGCCCGGCATCCTCCAGCTGGTCTCGCACTCACGCGTGGTACGTGCGGTCGGCGCCGACCGGTCCCGGTGGGCCTATCGACCATTGCTTTCATTCGCGGATGTTCAAAAGCCGATGGCGCTCAGCAGGGCGGGATATACCTGGAGAAGTCAGGGCTTCAGTGGGAGGCTCTTGATAGTGCGTCGCGTGTCTGCTGGCAAAACCGGCGCACAATTTCGATGTCCAAATTATAATTATTTCGAAGCATGACTGTCATGCTTCATGACATGACACGACATCATGTGGCACATGCTGCATTGCTGACAAATGACCAGCTGTTATTCGGATGTGTCGGAGGGGGGGGGGGGGGCTGTGGTTTGACCACTGTCCTCAGTTGTTTTATTTTGAAGCTGGAGTTCCGCAGCGTCATTGCTTCTCTATGTGGCCGTTATAAGCCGCCGATCTGTGCTGTCCTCTGACGCCTCGGACAGGCGCTCGTGCCGGTCGGGCCGGTCCCGTCCCGCCCGCCTCGCTCTGTCGCTGCCCGGCTCTCCTCTGATCCCTGGCTCCTCCTCACTGTTCAGCTGGGCGAGATGGTGAACCTGCACTTTCTGAGCTTGATGGAGGCGCTGGCCGAGTGCAACGCCTCCACGCTGGCCCGCCTGCTGCCGGTCTGGACGCAGGTGTTCTACGCGTACAACCAACAGGTGAGTGAGAGGCAGCACTCAATACCGCCACTCAAACCTGCACACACTGGTGAGCCGTAGGTGAGTACACTGAGCCAAAACTTTAACCGCCAACAAGGAACAGCGACCAGTTTGATCCTGCTCCCAGTGTAATATTTGGGTGGTACATTTTTGTCGAGTAAACTTGGGGCTATGATGTGCTTTAGATAATGGCGCGGTGTACTGGTTGAGATATATTGCAGCACGGTCATTCAGTTGATTATAAAATCAGGATGTAATTTTTAGCAAGTGTTGAGCAAGCTACAAACATATCCTATTTGGTAATTTTACCTTGTGACATTAGTCTTGGGTGGCAAGGATTGTCAACGGAGATGTAACTGAGATAATTCCTCTGTATTTACTCGGCAAATATACGCGCAGTTCCGCCGGTCAATGTGTTCTTTGTTTGCGTATACGTGGTGGCGAGCGTTATCGCTGTGACAGGTGCGTCGAGTCACGACAGTATATCTGTACTTAAGTGGGCCTCGTCCACCACTGCCGGCCTGCTCCTCCAAAAGGGGAGCTAGCCGGCCGAGCCGGAGATCCACCGTGTCGTGTTCTCCTCCACTGCAGGCTCGTGACCACCCCGGCGGTATGTAGCGTCCCCACGGCGTGGCTGCCCGCCCGCTGACCGTCGTGCGGGCCGGCCCCGACCTGAGCGCTCGGCTGACGGGAGCGCGTCGGCGTGTCTTCTGTTCACAGCTGCCGGGCCACCTGAGCGTGCGGCTCCAGAACTGCCAGTCGCAGCCGGCCGGTCAGGGCTGTCACCCGCAGGGCTGCCAGTCGCACCCGACCGGCGCCGGCGGGTGTGCGGCACAGCCAGGCGGTGCCGGCGCCGGTGCCGCCGCCCAGCGGCCCGGCGGCGCCGCCCAGCCGGCCGGACACAGCTGCCAACAGCTGCTGCTCAGCTGGATCCAGCGGCTGCAGTTCAAGATGGGGCAGATCGAGTTGCAGAGCTCGGCGGCCGCGCAGTTCTACACTGTCTGAGGCAGCTCGGTCCAACACGGTGTGAGGCCACACGGATTGGCACTGTGTGCGGTCGCGCAGATGTACTCGGTTTGACTACGCCCGGTACTCCGTATTGAGATCGTGCAGTTGTACTTGGTCTGAAGGTCAGGTCTCAGGCGGTCTCAGCCGGTTGGGGGGGTCGCAGAGTCCGCCGCACCAGACGCACGGGATGGTGGCGTCGAGCGTCATCCGTCGATGTGATGTCCCTGCCTGTGGCACCCCCGTGTGAGCGGCGAGCACCACCCGTCGATGTGATGTCCCCGCCAACATCCCCCGTGTGAGCGGCGAGCACCACCCGTCGATGTGATGTCCCCGCCAACATCCCCCGTGTGAGCGGCGAGCACCACCCGTCGATGTGATGTCCCCGCCAACATCCCCCGTGTGAGTGGCGAGCACCACCCGTCGATGTGATGTCCCTGCCAACATCCCCCGTGTGAGCGGCGAGCACCTTCCGTTGATGTGATGTCCCCTCCAGCATCTCCCGTGTAAGCGGCGGGCGCCAACCGTCGATGTGATGTCCCCGCCTGTGGCACCTCCGTGTGAGCGGCGAGCACCTCCTGTCGATGTGATGTCCCCACCAGCATCCCCCGTGTGAGCGGCGAGCGCTACCCCTCGATATGATGTCCCCGCCAGCCCCCCCCCCCCCCCCCCCCCGTCACGCCACCAGTCGAGTGTGCACCTGCCGACGAGTCAGGGCCGTCTCAAGGTCTATAACGGTCGCGCGGCGGTGAGCGTGACTCGGTTGTGTGGCGACGCTCGCGGCTTCAGCGGGACTGAGCGAACCGCAACAATCTTCGGAGCTTCGCGTTTGTTGTCGCTACGAAAGTGACTGTAAAGATAGCGATAGTCCCAGGCAGAGTATAGCAGTGGCTCTCTCGACGCGTCACGTACGTACTTCTGTGGTTTATACGAGCCCGTAGGAGCTTGCCAGAAACTAACGGCGCGCACTTGTCATTGACATCGCACGGGACACGTGTGCCTCGCCACATGCGTCAAAGCATATTTGCGACATGACTGCCAGAGGATAGTGCCCAAATTGTCTTACGGAGCGCGCAGCCGATTAACAACGCCGCCCGTACCGCCAAACAATCTGTACATGTTACGTGTTAGGTATGTTACACATTCTGCCGCGTACTGTGGTTGTTGTAAGTGAGCTGCTATTGCTATCGTTGCGCGCATCTAGACGGCTCTATGAATGCACAGAAAACACCAGTACTATTTTGCGTCGTTTCCGTACTTCCCCTAGACTGTTATATGTGTTTACCCCTGTATTACGTGGTATGCCTAGTCTCCACATTTTCGCGTATTGGTCTACGACGCCTCCGTTAAGCGGCTCCGTCTCCCTGTTGGTGGCGCCTCGTCTGCGGGCGGGACTCTGTGCCATTCATTACCAGTGATTGGCAGCATTTGCTGTGCAGTCTGTGTATGTGTAGCCTAGTGCTTGCCCCGGTCCGGGACTGATGACTTAACTGTACCTGCTCTAGTCACTGCTAGTCAATACATGTATTGTACACGTCTGTCTGCGATGTATTCGTACCTGATGAACCTGATGAGTAGACAGGTGCTTTGATGTCAATGATCGAGATGGCGGCAACGCGAATCCGAAAAACGACTATGCATTTGTCTGGCGCAGGTGCAGGGTAGAGTCCCCGCCGGCCCCTCGCAGCATGCGCTTATCGGGCCACTAATAGGGCTTGCTCAGCGATTTCACACCCTACCAAAGCAGAACACGAGCGGCGATGACTGCCTGAGCTCAAGTCGCCATATTTTTACCAGGGACGATATAAGACTGTACCGGCCGCGTGAAGTTCGTCCACTATGGGCGACCCTCGTTCGGTCAATGTCGAACTAGTACGGTGTCAGCTGAGTGAGGGCTGCACGTGTTAGGCCGCGTTGGCCGCCGTAGGCCAACATTACGGGCAGCGTATCAACCGTGAACAACATCGTGTGACCTAATGTGCCTTTACTGCCAGCGGACTTGCGGCCCCAACCTGCCTCGTGGCTGCTTGAGTGGCATAGCGTTGAGACAAGCTGGTCACTTGACCCTTGGTCGCCATCTAGAAGAGCCGTGGCTTAGCCCTGGAGGATATTATAAATCCCTCCCAGTCCTCAGGGTTCCGTCAACGTTATCGCATGTTGTGAATGACCCCTCACAACTTTAAACCTGTTCGGGACGTAATGTCGACTGGAGACTGGCGGAGCCTGTCCGGAGAGTGGGACGGAGCGGAACCCGCCTCGATCCGAACCGGCAACTGACGGCTGGGCCCTGGCGGTCGCCATCGCGAAGCATGTCGAAATAGTGGCAGTCCGGATGATTAAGTATTAAGTAAATAATGGGCATGGCATCCTATATATGTCCTATGAGAGCCGCATTTGTCTCATATGCAACAGGACTGAGCCAGCATTCATCGTTGAGTGTTCTCTTGCGATGAACCGTTGGTATCCAGGGCAGTAGGGCACTTTGTGTCCATCCGTGGTTGGTATGGTACGTGTTGCATTGGTACCCACGATATCCGGAGGTGTTTACCGCGGTCTTTACAGGACTGTAGCAGTGCGTGTGATTAGTTTTTCATGACGTAGACCATTTTAATGACATCAGCGCAGTCTTCTTGCGTTGTGTCCATTTGGTAATGATAAATAGCATATTGGACCTCATTTATGTGCCTTATTATACCAAAGCCTTTCTTTCATACATGCTATGCTGCCAGCATGAGAAGGCTTTTAGCTGGTTAACTACAGCAACATCATTTATTTGTTACAGTTCTAAAGATATGCTACTTGCTACCATGATGACTTACTGCACCAACACTTACTGGATGATGCATGAGGAGCAGGATCAGATGTGTTTATTTGGAAGCCAGTTGTCAACCCAGATGTTAAGAATATAAAGGTAACATAAAAATTTCATGATTGTCAATACATGTTGCGGTGTAGGTGTACTTTCCTACCTAACGCTAGAAAAAATCATTGCACACCATTCGTCGTGTTTAAGGCGGCACAAATCGTAAATAATCTCAAAACAGGTAGAATCATGCTCCTACCTTCGAATTTCAATAACTTCGATGGCGGGCTCCCGAGCGCCGCGCGCACCGCACGGCATGGACTCCCCAGCGCCGTTTCTGCGTTGCTGTTGCGTAAATACAATATTTCTGCTTACCAAGAACTCTACAAAATGTACGGGACCAAGGTAAACCATTCGTCGTGTTTAAGGCGGAACATATCGTAAATAATTTCAAAACGGATAGAATCATGCTCCTACCCTTGAATTTTAATAAATACGATAGAGAGTTCCCGAGCGCCGCGCGCACCGCACCGCACCGCCTCGACTCCCAAGCGCCGTTTCTGCGTTGTTGCGAAAGCACAATATTTCTGCTTATCAAGAAACATAAAACATGTACGGGACCAAGGTAACAATAATAAAGCAACCAAAATCGTTTCTTATCGAGTTTAGGTACATTTATCAAACACACAGGCCAGAATAGTCCAGAACGTATCCTAAACTAGCCTAACCTAACCTGACCTGACCTGACCTGACCTGACCTGACCTGACCTGACCTGACCTGACCTGACCTGACCTGACCTGACCTGACCTGACCTGACCTGACCTGACCTGACCTAACTGAGAATAGACCAGAATCTAAGCTAAGCTAAGCTAAGCTAGCCTGACCTGACCTGACCTAAGCTAACCTAACCTAACCTAACCTGAGAATAGACCAGAACCTAAGCTTAGCTAAGCTAACCTACCCTAACCTAACCTAACCTATCTAACCTAACCTAACCTAACCTAACCTAACCTAACCTAACCTAACCTAACCTAACCTAACCTCCCCACCCTAAAACCCCTTCAACCCAGCATCCCATAGCTAAGCTAAGCTAAGCTAAGCTAGCCTGACCTGACCTGACCTAAACTAGCCTAGCCTAGCCTAACCTAACCTAGCCTAACCTAACCTAACCTAACCTAACCTAACCTAACCTAACCTAACCTAACCTAACCTAACCTAACCTTACCTAACCTAACCTGAGCTTAGATATAAGCTCATAGACCTTATAAGCTTAGATATAAGCTAATAGACCAGAACCTAAGCCAAGCCAAGCTAACCTACCCTAACCTAACTAACCTATCCTAACCTAACCTAACCTAACCTAACCTATCCTAACCTAACCTAACCTAATCTAACCTAACCTAACCTCCCCACCCTATATCCCCTTCAACCCAGCATCCCATTGGCGTCCATGTTCCATGCCATATATGGGTGTCATATATTGAGCTTTTATTTAGCTGTCATGTTCTCATTTTGCTTTACATTCCCCCCTGCAGCCTATGGTCCCGTTGGCGTCGAGGATCAAATTTCATGGATTCTTGTTACCTTGGCCCGGTACATTTTTATGGTTATTGATGCTGCTTAATGCACAGTAATGTTGTGACCCGCGCAATAATGGCGCCGGTGTCGCGGGTGCTGTGTGTGTGCGGCGCTCGGGAGCTCGCCATCGTAATTATAAAAAATTGAAGGTAAGATTATGAATCTACCTGTTTTGTGATTATTTACGATATGTCCTGCCTTAAACACGACGAATGGTTTACTTTGGTCCCGTACATTTTGTAGAGTTCTTGGTAAGCAGAAATATCGTATTTACGCAACGGCAACGCAGAAGCGGTGTTAGGGAGTCCAGACGGTGCGGTGCGCGCGGCGCTCGGGGCCCGCCATCGAAGTTATTGAAATTCGAAGGTAGGAGCATGATTCTACCTGTTTCGAGATTATTTACGATATGTCCTGCCTTAAACACGACGAATGGTGTACAATGATTTTTTCTAACGTTAGGTAGGAAAGTACACCCTGACCCATGTTGCATAGACAATGACAACTAATATGATCCTGGCATTGATTCTGCATAAAACATATGATTAGACATGATGCCAAAACATGCCCTGAAATTCATTCAGCCACCATGAAAAGTTGTTTGTGAAGAACAAACACTCTTGTTGTCTTTTGAGTGGACAATCAATATAATTACAACTAGTTATCCTATGCTCAAAACTTGTTAACCAATCAAAGAAAACTCCTTGCTGCACAGCATATTCCTATAGTCCTATGCACCCCAAATCTATATAATTTTGATCCTGTAAAATGGTTTACTTAGCTCAAGTGGGTACCACCAGCTTAAGTTGGTACTGGTATTTATTTGAAAATTTTACCAGCAACTCACCAATGCTGTTCTTTGGTTTGAATTTTTGGCACATTGTGTCTTCTCACTTGTTTTGTCATTTAAACTGTGCCAGTGCACATTTTTGTACTGTGTTCCTCGGTGTACACATCTTTGTATGTGGAATTTGCTATCGCCTTGCTTTATATTGTATGTCTTCCCATGCAAATCTTTGTATATGCAGATTTTTGTAACTGAAAGACTTAATGCACAAATCTTGGTAACACAGAACTTTGTATTCACAAATTATAATTGTAGAAGTCACAAAATGGAACAAAGCTAAAGAAAGAGATTTTGACATAATTGCCAATTGTGCAAAGTTATAAGTGCCATTTTACCTAATGGTGCTTCAACATCTTCTGTGGATTACAGATGATGCTAGTTTTTCAAACGGTTTACACATATTCTCACCTCAAGTAGTGTCAATCATTTATCTGTGGACTTCCACAGTGCATTGCACTTACACCCAGCTGCTAGCCAGCGGCTCTCCATGGATCGGGAGGAGTCTGTCTCCTCCCTGGGAAGCATCAACCTGGATGCCAAGCCCAAGAAGAGCATCCTGAAGCGGAGCGAGCCGGACGCCGTCGAGTCGGGCGACGGTGGCGGCGGAGCAGGCGGCGGTGGCCGGCGCCACGTGCCCTTCAGCCACATCCTGCCTGAGCTGTCGCGGCTGGAGGAGGAGGACGACCGGCTGGGCAGCGCCGCCGTCGCCGCCGCTGGCTACGACCTGCAGAGTGTCAGCAGCGCGGCCAGCCTCAGCCCACTCAGTTCTGACGACCAGCTGGGCGGTGAGCCGCCGCCGCGCCGCTCCGACAGCCCGCCGCCGTTCGAGGAGGACGCCCTGCTCAGGGGGCCGCTCCGGCGCAGGAAGCGCGGAGTCCGCATGAAGGGCCGCCAGCGCCGGCCGTCCGGCTCGCCGCCGCTGTCGGCGCTGCTCGCCTCGCTGGGCGCGCTGCCGGCGGCGCGGCCGGCGCCGGCCGAGTGGCGCCCTCCCAGCGAGAGTCCGCCACGCCGCGTTCGGTACAGCCCGAGTCCGCCGCGCCGGAGCCGCAGCCCTGCGCGCCGCATTCGCAGCCACCGCAGCCGCAGCCCGGCGCGCCGCAATCGCAGCCACCGCAGTCGCAGTCGCAGTCCGGCGCGCCGCAGTCCAGCCCGCCGGAGCCGCAGTCCGCCGCGGCGCAGTCGCAGTCCGCTGCGGCTCAGTCCGGGCGCGTTCCGCGGCCTCAGTCCGCGCTACCGGCGACCCAGCCCGGGCAGCCGCCGCCACTGGAGCCGCAGTCCGTCGCCGAGGCGACTCCGCAGTCGCAGCCGCTCGCCGCCCTGGGGCAGGAGGTGGGTCAGCTGACGCCAGCTGAGAGGCGCGCTCCGTCGGTCCCATCTGCTACTCAGTTGGGGCACGGCGTTGTACACCCATTGGCCGAGGATGAATTGAGATGAACTTTGCTTTTTCTCTTATGTCGTGCGAAATGGCAGTAGTTTCCATATCACTGCTCCGTTTTGCTATGCATATGATGTGCTGGTTGCTTGCAGTAAGCACCATCGGGATGAGACCCGGGCCTTTTATCCACTGTGTGTTGTGTCCGAGGCAGCACGCCTTCAGTACGATATGAAGACCTGGATGTCTTGTTGGTACCTTGTAATCAAAACCAACTCAATGAGGTCATAACCGCGGCGTTTGCTTCGTCGTCGCGCCGTCTGCTCCCAGCCTGCACCTCCGGCCCATACGTCAGTGTGTTGTGTCTGATGGGCCTGACCCGCTGATGCGCCCCGTCCTGCCGGTGACGCTGACGCTGCTGGGCCGCAGCCTGGAGCGAAGTCTGCTGATGTCCCGCCAGCTGCCGCCGGTCGGGTACCCGGGCGGCGTGGCGGCCGGCTACGCGCCGCCGCCGTACGGGGCGCCGCCGCCGCCGCCGCCGGCCGCCGGCTACCTGCCGGCCATGCCGTACGCCAACCCGCCCTGCCCCGGGCCGCCGCTGCACGCGCAGATGGCGCCGGTACGTCGTTCGTTGGCTGCCCGCCGCCGTGGGGCGGCGGTCAGCGGCCAGCGGGAGCAGCCGCGGTGCCCGCGCTCAGTCCGTGTCGCTGTATCGGGGAAGGCGGTATTCGGTGTGGGAAGGTGTGGCTCAGGAGCCTGAGTCGGCGTCTTATGATGTCTTCGGTGTCCCCTTGCTCGCTAACTGCGATATGCCGTATTCGGAGACTTGTGCCTGACTCGTGGCGCATCTTTTAGAGCGTGTCAGGATAGCAGCAGATAGCAGTCTCGCGCGCGTCACGCTGCCGGCGGACGGCGGCTGGCCGTCACTCGAGACTGGTCTGGCGTGTCCGTACTGATCCTGCTGGACGGTGCTCGCAGGGCATGAACCCGGCGTACGCGCAGCCCATGTACGCGCCGCCTGCCGCGCCCGCGTACCTGCCGCCGGCTCCGCAACCGCAGCCGCCGCCGGCGCCCAGTCTCAGGTGGGTGTTCCAGTCCTCCGCGGCCAGGTGGGGCCTTCGGACTGCGACGATGGAGCGCGCCAGGAGAGTTCTCTGGCAACTGCACAGCCTGTGGTTCGTGCTGCTTTGCTTTGCTGTTGTTCCAGCCGAGAGACTCGCTAAGAACTCGTAGTTCCGTTGATGCTCTTGGGACTGGCCTCCATTGGTAAGCGTTGTTTGAGCTCTGAGTGACGACCTGCTCGGCCATGTACCGTCCAGTGTGCCGGTGTCGGCGCGTGACGGGCCGCGCGCTGCCGCCGTGCGCCGCAGTGTACCGCCGGCGTCCTCGGGCGTGGTGGAGCGGATAGACTCGGATACGTTCCTGCGTGAGGTGGAGAAGCGACGAGAGCGGCGCGGACACGTGAAGAAGCCCGAGCGCGAGCTGAGGACGGTCGACACGAGCGCCACCAACACCACCGTCTCTCCGGACCTGCGCGACTTCGAGACCACCACCAAGGGTCAGAGACAGGCTCGGGCGTGTCTTTACGCAGGGTCGGCAATGGTGACGACTGCGCTCGGCTCCCTGCACGGTGGGCCGATGCTATCGCGTACGTGGTTATAGGTTATAGGTATCCTTGGTTATATATATATATATATATATATATATATGTATATATATATATATATATCCTTATCTTAGATATCCTTGGTTGTAGGTGAAAAACGGTTTTCGCCCTGTGGTATCTTTGGTAGTCCAGTTGGCAATCGCAGTGACATGTGCCCTTTCAGAACTCAACAGAAAGAACTTGAAACAGCTGGAAGAAATTAAAAAAGTAAAACCCTGGATGACAGAAGAACTGCTGGCGCTTCGTATAGAAATGGATGAACACAAGAGCAAGGTTGGGACCAACAACCAGTATTTCAAGGTACGCCAGGAGCGGACTGTTCGCCGTTGGTTTTGGGTAGCAGCTTCAGTACATCTGCGTTGCCGTGGGCTTGCGTGACTAGAAGCTACGCGGGGTGCTGCGAACCCAGACTGCCACGGGCAAGCGCTTCCCGTAATACGAGATCGAGGACAGATGACTACCCGAGCCCGTATGATCTTCTGTGCATTGTTAGCCAGTTGCGATGATAGTGTTTATACAGTTGGCCTCGAATCATAGACATTATGCAGGCACCCTTGCATGCGTACATTATTTCCTTTGCATGCTGGACATGATTGGCCCGGTATTGCAGGGACCGGCTTGATCTACCGCCATTGTTTATTTTTTGTTACGGACGGAATCGGTAGCTTAAATGTTGGCGAGGCAGCACGAAAAGCGTGACTGATAGCCAGGGCATTGCGTGAGTGCTGTGCGCACGGCCAGTGATAATATCAACGGCTCAGCCCCGGGGGCGTCCGCAGCGTAGCAACAATGAGTATCGTTTTTTTCTCAACCCAAATAATCGAGCCCGGACATAAAATGGTGACGCCTCTGCACAGGGGCGCAGCACTCACCGTCAGTTGAGATGCGCTAGCCCAGATATGTCAGTTTTATTGCTTCTGTGAATATTTCTCTGCTTGCGTTTTGCAGGTCTATGAAAAATGCAAACTACGAACAAACCAGTAACATACATAAAACGTGTGCACACACAAAGGAGACATGTAAAGCAAAATTGTACGGATATATTTTGCAATACTGATGTTGCGTCGGTGATTTCATATGACTATGCACTGGTATCAACGGCCACATTTCTTTGTCCAATGTCAGGCGGCTTTTGTCATCTGCCTCTTCCCTCAGACAATGGCTCGGAAGTGGAACAGCCTAGTGGTCGAGTCGAAGAAAAAACTGGACCTGGCAGCGAAAGCAGCGCTGGGCAGCAACGGTGAGCGTCTGGCCGCCCCAATGGTAGGCGCGCCAGAGTGAGGCAGCGATGTTGGACATCGTGCGAAGTAGCAGTCTCTCGGATGACGTCAGTCGTTCGTCACGTGCTGGTCGTGACACGCCGTCACCGATCCCCGGGGGGCACCGCTCCGTCTCGCCGTGCAGACGGCTATATCGGACCGCCCTGGTTACATGTTCATTTTACCTTCCAGTTAACTCGCAGCGACTGGGAGAGCCCGCCTGTGTTCCGACGTAAAATTGGGGCGAGCCACACCGCGCTGTTGTTTGCTTGCATGACCTGCATCAACTCAAGCACTTAACATGCTTTACGTCGTCTGCTAGGCAGTGGCGAATGTGGTGCTCGCGGGGCTCCACTGCAAAGTGACCACTGACATGCGTTCTCATCACTGACACTGACATCGCCTTCTCTTAGATTGGGCCCAGACTATGTATATGAGGTCATATGACGCTCTCAGTTGATCCGTTGCTCTCGAATACCGAACTTCAAGAACCGTTGTGCGAGGAGCAGCATGGATGGGCCGTGTTGTCCTGGGGCTGGCCGCGGCCGGTGGGAGCTCGGTTCGGTGCTGCGGTCGTGAGTCACCGCCGCAGTCCGGCGGCGCGGAACAGCGGCCTGACCGGGGTGTTGTCCTGGAGCTGACCGCGGCCGGTGTGAGCTCGGTTCGGTGCTGCGGTCGTGCGTCACCGCCGCAGTCCGGCTGCGCGGAATAGCGGCCTGACCGGAGCCCGTTCCAGACGGACCAGTGCCGCTGTCGGGCACGACGATAGCGCGGCTGGCGTCCCAGCGTCAGGAGTACGTGGCCAAGCGGGACAGCCTGGCTGGCGAGCTGCATCAGCTGAAGCTGGAGCAGAAGCTGCTCGACAAGGCTGACGTCATCTGGAAGAAGGGCCAGCCGGTCACCAACAAAAAGCTGCACGACAATCTGAAGAGACAGGTGCGCCGAAACCCGACAGTTTCTGTCGCGGGCCTGCTTATGCCGGTGGTCAAACTAGCCTAAAGTTGCATGTTAACAACCAGTTAAGATTTGAGACGTCCTCGGTCAACGACTTTATTTAAAACTTGACTTTGAAGCTGGATGCTTTTTTGACGCAAGAAGAAGATATAGTTTGAAAAAGTCAAGCAATACCATCAAACGCGTCAGCCTAGAATGTAACCAAACCTGCGCACTTCTGCTGAGCGTGTGTCCCGATGTTGTTGCTGAGCTGTGAGAGTTGCCTGCTGACGACGACGCCGGCGTGCTCCGGCGCAGGGTGAGCTGCTGAAGGAGCTGGAGTCGGTGACGGCCGTGGTGGGGCAGCTGAACCAGCTGCTGGAGCCGGCCGAGGCGGGCGGCTCGGCGGCTGCCCTCAACGGCGTCGGCAGCGCTCTTGTGCGGGCCGCTGGTGGAGCTGAGACGGCAGACGACGCCGACGCCAAGCCTCAGGTAGTGTCCAGGGAGCAGGACGGCCGATGGCCAGCGTCGGCGCCGCCGCCGGTCCCGGCCCGGCATGCCGCTCGTCACCCTGAGGTGTGGTGACGTGCCCTCTGCTGATTAGGTGTCTCGAAGCGTGGCAGTCGTGTTATCTCTACCCGATCCCTGTGAACAGGCGGCGACCTCGGCTCGCAACCCTGAATAAGCGAAAGTGATGCCCGGACCTCCGATTGCGCGCTGCTGTTTGCACGTGGACGTGACAGCCCCGCCACCGAGCCGCCCGACACCCAGACATCGCGGCGGGTGCCGCACCGTGCCGTCAGTCCCCCAGCCCGCCGACCGACCGAGCTGGGCGCCTCCGCAGGTGCGCTTCCTGCTGCTGGGCGACGAGACGCTGGCCGCCGTGCAGGTGTACGTGCGCGAGCAGGAGACGCGCGCCGCGTTCGGCACCACGCTGCCGGCCGGCCAGATCCGTCTGTCGTCGCGCGCCGGCGCCGCCCTCTCCGACGTGGAGTTCCGGCTGTGGGTGCGCTCCACCGTGCGCCAGTCGGCCGCCGAGACACTGGTGCTGCTGGTGAGCGCGCGCTGTCTGGACGACGAGCCGTGGTCGGCGGCGGCGGCGGCCGCGCCGCTGCTGCCGCTGCTGCGGGACCTGCGCGCCGACGGTCTGACACGCGCCGTCGTCGTCGGGGTGCCGGCGCTGAGGGGCGCCGGCGAGCGGGCGGCGCTGTTCAACCGCGCGCTGCAGCAGCAGGTGGAGTCGGCCGGGCCCCACGCGCCGCATGTCACCTACACGCCGGTCAAGGCCGGCCCGCAGGACGGCTTCGGCCAGCAGACGGAGGGCGGACTCACGCTCGACCTGTACCGCACGCTGCTGCAGACTATCCACCGCTGTCAGCAGCAGCCGGTGAGTACGCGGGTGGGGCGGGGCTGTGGTCGGACTCACGCTCGACCTGTACCGCACGCTGCTGCAGACTATCCACCGCTGTCAGCAGCAGCCGGTGAGTACACGGCTGGGGCGGGGCTGTGGCCGGACTCACGCTCGACCTGTACCGCACGCTGCTGCAGACTGTCCACCGCTGTCAGCAGCAGCCGGTGAGTACGCGGGTGGGGCGGGGCTGTGGCTGGACTCACGCTCGACCTGTACCGCACGCTGCTGCAGACTATCCACCGCTGTCAGCAGCAGCCGGTGAGTACACGGCTGGGGCGGGGCTGTGGCTGGACTCACGCTCGACCTGTACCGCACGCTGCTGCAGACTATTCACCGCTGTCAGCAGCAGCCGGTGAGTACGCGGGTGGGGCGGGGCTGTGGTCGGACTCACGCTCGACCTGTACCGCACGCTGCTGCAGACTATCCACCGCTGTCAGCAGCAGCCGGTGAGTACACGGCTGGGGCGGGGCTGTGGCCGGACTCACGCTCGACCTGTACCGCACGCTGCTGCAGACTATCCACCGCTGTCAGCAGCAGCCGGTGAGTACACGGCTGGGGCGGGGCTGTGGTCGGACTCACGCTCGACCCGTACCGCACGCTGCTGCAGACTATCCACCGCTGTCAGCAGCAGCCGGTGAGTACACGGCTGGGGCGGGACTGGGGCCGGACTCACGCTCGACCTGTACCGCACGCTGCTGCAGACTATCCACCGCTGTCAGCAGCAGCCGGTGAGTACGCGGCTGGGGCGGGACTGGGGCCGGACTCACGCTCGACCTGTACCGCACGCTGCTGCAGACTATTCACCGCTGTCAGCAGCAGCCGGTGAGTACGCGGCTGGGGCGGGACTGGGGCCGGACGGGGCACAGGCGGCCGCCGACGCGCGATATCCGGGCTTGGTCATGTCTTCTGAGGGAGGCATTGACGGATTTTGTGATTTCGACTCAGGCAGGTGGCTTACGCTTTTGGTGGTAGAATAAGGCATTGCGGCGCCAAAGAGAACCAGTAAAGGCACTTCATGTCTGTTCTAGTTGTGCCTGGTAAGTACAGATTGTAACTGGTAGACACTGCAGTTAAGTCGACCATTGGTGTAGGCTGGACTGTGCGCGATCACCGCTGGTGGTGTGCGCACATCTGCGGGCGTCAGACAGTGCGAGCGACCAGTCGGTGACGGTGTGCGTGTGCGCGCGCAGTCGGCGACCGGTCTGGAGTCGGCGGCCGCGGAGCCGGCGCGCCAGCTGCAGTCGATGGAGGAGGCAGCTGACTCGGTGCAGACGCTGCTGGACGGCCTGCGCGGCCGGCTGGCCGGCGACGAGGCCGCCGAGCTGGGCGCCGTGGCCGGGCTGCTCGACCGGCTGCGCAGCGAGCGCAGCGTCGATCAGCTGCTCAAGCAGCAGCAGCAGCTGGTGAGTGAGCCGGGCCGGGGTATCGGCGGTCAGCTGCCCAAGCAGCGTTGTCGGGTGTTGAGCGCCCCGCACCGGCAGCTGCGTGACCAGCTGCCCGGGCGGCAGCAGCAGCAGCAGCAGCACCTGGGTCTGGAGGCACGAGCAGTGGTGCCGATCTCCAGCACGATGGTGTGGTAGTCTGAGTGTCTGCGGTGCGGCGGGCTCTGCGTGATCGCCGCTGCCGTGTCGTGTGCTGCTGCCCGGTGACAGCCCACCCAGGAATGCGCTGGTGGGCACGTGTCGCCTTCAGCTGGGATGTGGGCTGGCGCGTCTGCCCCGTGCAGCGGCCGGTTACGGCATGACCCGCCAACCCTCGCCGTACCGCAGTTTGCCGTGCTTCTTCGCACGTACCTGAGTGCTGGGATGGTGGCGTGGCGTCCAGACGCGCGCTGTTGTAACCCCGGCCGTGTGTTGCGCTGGGCTGCAGAACCCGGACGCCGAGGACCCGGCCGTCTTCTTCCGGGACCCTGCCGACCACATCTGCCTGCACTGTCAGCAGATCTTTCTCAACGCCAAATCTTACCTGCAGCACCTCCAGTCGGCCGAGCACCTAAAAAAATACGCGGCAAGTATCGGATTTGTGATGGGCCGGCTTGTCGGCGCCGGCGCGCGGGCCCAGCCCGCCGCGGCCGTCTGACAGCCGAGTGCCTTCAGCGGGCGCCGTGTGACGGATGTGGTTGGCGGGCAGAAGCGAGATATCTCTGTCCTGGAACACTGTGTACTCAGCGCACCGCGATTTAGGTTTATTGAGTTGGGTGACCGCTCTTGCGGGCACGCTTGCACGATGTTTTTTCTCAGTCTGTTTTTTTCATACATGGTATTTGTCCCACCTGTCCAGGCCATGCCGTGATGGTCTAAGATTTTTGGTATGGGCTTTTCTTTGATATGGACATGGTCCTAGTAGAGGATGTTCTATTTGCCCAGAGAGTGCATGTCCTGGAGCCTTGCCTTTCCTGACGTGAAGAATGCTGCCAGTGGGTTATTGTGTGTCGCCTGTCTGTTGCCAACCCGTGCCGTCGTCGGCCGACAGAAATCACAGGACGGCGGGGCGGCAGCACCGTGGCGTAAGGCCATTCCTCCGGTGGAGAAGAAGGCCAGAGACGCCGAGTCGAAGCCCATCAAAGGTCAGTAGTGCTGCTCCGACGGGCAGGCGGACGAGACGGTGCGGGCGGTCGCGTGCAGTGTTCAGGCGACGCCGCCAGGTGTTGAGGTCAGCCCAGAGTGTCCGCTGTGCTCGGGGCCCGTGGTAGGCCTCGTGTCGGACGCTGGCGTCGGGGGTGAGTGTCTTTGCGGTATGGTGCGACTCCGGTCCAGGCCGTGCGCCTGTCGATGTCGGCCGCGTCTCTCGAGCGCGCTGACCGCCGTCCGCCGTCTGTCGCAGGGCTGGACATGTTCATCCGCGTTGACTGCTGGTACTGCAAGGTGTGCAACATGTTCGTGGGTGACCTGCGCTGTGCCTCGTCCCACCTCAAGTCTCGCCGGCACAACAGCAACTACGACGTGCGTGGGACGCGCCGCGGCCGGCTCGCAGTTGCCGCACAGATGTCGTGCCATCACGACCTCGCGCCTCGCTGATGTTTCATTAGCTTCGCGTATTTGTTGATGTGGGAGGAATCGCATGCTGGTGTGTCTGAAAAGTCCTTGGATTTTGGCCGGTCTTATTGTCATGATGCATGCGTTACCGAATATTTGGTACACAGTTAATGTTTGTGGTGTTATTTTGACATGCGGCCACCAGCTCTCTGCGTGGTATCCATTGATAACGTTGCGTACAAGAATCTGATGCATGCAGTACATGCAGTATATGTTGTTTTGCACACGATTCATCTTACCTTGGACGTTTTTCAGCATTGTAGAATCCACTGATAAGTCGCTGGAACTTGGAGAATGTTTCAACTGTTCGTAGTCAGCGATTTTTGACAAGCCTCCCCAGGAATCACGGAAAGGGCAAAGCCGTGGCGTATGTGCGCCACCACGACGAAAGTCGTATCCGGCGCCGGGCAGACTCTGCCAGGTGTGTCCGTTCTAGTTCACGCTTTACTGGTAGTGCCGATGATACCGTGGTACCTCCCGCCACGGACCGCCGGCCCGCCGCGCCCGTCTGACACGCCTTGTCGGGCCACAGGAATACCTGGAGAATAACCCGGCCTACCACGCGGTGGTGAGCGAGAGCCGCAGTCGGCTGCTGCTTGACTGCGCCATGCGCGAGCAAGAGCGCACGCGCCGCCGCCGTCGCGAGGAGATGGAGAAGCGTGGCGACCGGCTCAACGAGGAGATGAGGCAGCGGCGCCAGAGTGAGGGCGCCGTGCAGGACGTGACTGATGACGCGGGCGGCGCGGCGGCGGCGGCGGTGGCCGGAGGCGCCAGCGTCACCACCCCGCCGGGCGCCGCCGCCGCCAAGAAGGCCGGCATCAGGCTCAACCTGCTGGCGTCGCCGACCAAGCCGGTCGACGAGCTGGACCAGCTGAAGCGGAAGGTGCAGGCCAACATCGCTGAGCAAGAGGCGAAGCGAAGCCGCGCCGACAGCGAGGGGGAGAAGCCGCCGCTGGCCGGGGCCGGGGCCGGGGAAGGCGCGGCCCGGACCGGGAAGGAGCCACTCGAGAAGAAGGCCGAGATTGCTGTGAAGGTGGAGGTGAAGCGTGAGGAGGGGGTGAACCGGGACACGTGCACCACCGATCCAGCCCCCTCCGCGGCTGCCACCGCTGCCAAAGTGACGATGTCCCTCCCTGCGAAAGGCGCGCAGAAGGTACAAGCGACTGCCGGTGCCGTCCGGAAAAAGGTGGCGCCCATGATTGGCAAGCTGCCGAAGCTGAGGGCAAAGAAGACAGAAGCGTCCAAATCTTGCCCGGTCGAAGAAGCCGGCCAGGCCTCGGGCGGCCAGGATGCGGGAGAGACGAGCGAAGAGACGGCGCGGCTGGTGCAGCACCGGGAGCAGCAGCAGCGGCGGCAGACCGAGCCAGCCGCGGCGCTGGCCGATGTGCCCGCTGCCGCCGCCGGCCGTGCCGGCTGCAGCCCCAGCTCCGGAGCTGGCGCCGGCGCCGGCGCCAGCTTCGGCTGGTCCGGCGCCGGCGCGGCCGCCGCCGATGGTCGGCGCGCCCGACACGGAGGCCATCAGCGACGACGACGAGGACGACGCCGGCGACCTGCTGGACATCGACCTACCGGACGCCGACGTGCAGACGGACGCCGCCGAGCTGCTGATGCTGGGCATCTGCCAGGAGGACGTGGCCGTGCAGCAGCTTCCGGCCACCCGGCCACCGCCCTAGTCCAGGTGAGCACGGCCGAGAACGAGGGCCGGCTTGGCTGCTGGCGTAGTCCAGGTGAGCGCCGTTAAGGCAGCCTCCGCAGGAACTCTCCGGGGTGAGCATGGTCTTTGTGTAGACGGGCTCGAGAGGTGTTCAGTGAAGGCTCCCGAAGGCCATCCGTTTCTGGACGACCTCTGGCGCCGGGGCTGTGTGCCGCTTGTCCACCCCGCCGGCGCCAGGTGTGGCGGGGTGCTCGGAGGCCGCCGGTCCGCCCCGCCAGCGCCAGGTGTGGCGGGGTGCTCGGAGGCCGACGAGCAGGCCGTCCGGTGGCGGCTACCGCGCTCGGCACGCGTGCGCGCTCCTGTAGCACAGGCGAGGTTAAGCCATGTCTACGGCGCCACCTCCTGTCAGGCTGTGGTGCGCCTGACCGTCGCGCACCTCCGCTGCTGCCCAGACTGTAGAGCGCCTGACTGTCGCGCGCCACCGCTGCTGCCAGATCGCTCCCCGCAGGGAACGCGGAGCGAAAGGTGGACTTCCAGCCGGAATCGGACAAACCCGGCGCCGTATTGTTCCCGCTGCTGGATTAGCTCGTTCGCGGGCCTTGTCAGGGATAGTGGGAGTTTGAGCTTCATCAAGGTTATTTGGATTCTCAGTTTATGTCGGGTGGTTCAGCTGGAATGGGCTTTAAGCCTGGTTGAATGTCTGCGCTTATGTGCCGGAGGACGACTTTTAGGGCCGTCGTCAGGCACTGTTGTCACCATTCATAAATGTTGGAGGCTGAAGACGTTCGGCTAGGATCTGCTCGTCGGATGCATCCAGACTATTTTAAATATATACCATCTTGGCAACGTTTGATCTCTACAGCCCTCTCAATGCAGCCTCAGGCGATATGCCATATTTAAAGCGCGCCAAGCATGCGCGTCTATTGGAAATGGCTGTTCAATTGGTCTGGGCGCTTGTTTAAGGGACAGCGGAACGGGGTCGGGGCAGACCTTGCTTCTACGCAATGCTAATTGCGGCTCACCTCCCTTTTGTTTTTGCCGTGTAAAGTCGAATGCTGTTGTGCACCACATGCAGTGCGGGCATCGAGTTCCGTGATAAAAATCACGGCGAGCGTCGTTGAAGCTCGTGATCTCGAGGTCCATGCTCACCCGGCGCTGCCAAATACGGTCCGATGCGGAGGTCTCTGAGAGCGGGCGACGGCTTCCGCGAAAGACGAGCGTCTGGGCGCGGTTCGCACGCCGCCGTCGGTGGATGCTGGTACGGACTCTGCACCATGTGCTCTGGTCTGTAACCTGATCTGTGCTCAGCTAGTCCCGCGCCCAGAGCGCAAAAGCACGGCTGGCCGAAATTAGAACGGTACCATCAATGCAGTTATATTCCTGTTGACTGGATAAATCCATTGTGCGGAATGTGGATGTCGTGTGATCCGCCTAATGAGCTAGCTCAATTAGCCCCACGTGTTGCCTTTCAGGCGTCGTCTCTGTGGTCTATGTTTGAACACGAGCTCGGGTGTCCTGGCCATCTGCTTTTTGTGGATGCAAGATGCTGGTCTGGTGATCCAGTGGCATTGGCTATGAAAATGTACTATAGCCCGTGGACGTCGTTTGGCGTGACTGATGTGAGATGGTCAGCTGACTTTTGGCCAGAGGCTTCGCCTGACCGGGGGTGGCCGTGTCCTGCCTTTGTGCGGTACGCCAAACACGCCTTATGTCTGTCTGGCAAACAGCGCCGAGGCAGAATAATCTGACAAGCTATGTCAGCATAGCTTAGATGGTGGGCTATGCAAGCCCATCGAGTGCGTTTCTAAAAAGGACTGGCAAAGTTTTGTACGTAAGCAAAGTTTTTTGTTACATCACGATGCAGCGTTGTCAAATGGGAGGAAATGCCATGCCATAAGAGCTGAATGGGCTAGAACAGCCAGCAAGAGTTAGTTTTCACTGCTAATGGTAGATTTTACGATACCCTTGTGTCAAATTGGCCAAAAATAACTGTTTGCCGATAGCCGTAGTGTCGCACCACGCACCACGGAACTTAAGGTCAGCTCTGGAACAGCGAATGAAGTACGGGAACGTCATTACCTTTAGCCGCCGTCCGATTGGTGCCATCTGAGGGATGGTTTTCCTGCTGGCCTGTGTTGTGGCAGCCCACATCGCAAAGGCACCCGAGGATACGGTTTGTCTGGGCTGGCTGCGTCCATCATTCCATTCCCCTGTTTCTGCCTCGTCATCTGGACCGGACCTTGAATTTTTCTTGTTACTTTGGCGGCCCTGAGACCCGTGCGACCTTGTGCTCTCGCCGGACCGGGAGCCGTGCGACCTTGTGCCCCCTCCGGACGGGGAACCGGGCGACCTTGTGCTCCCGCCGGACGGGGAGCGGGCGGTCTTGTGCTCTCGCCGGAACGGGAGCCGAGCGACCTTGTGCTCTCGCCGGACCGGGAGCCGGGCGACCTTGTGCTCTCGCCTTCTCGCCGGACCGGGAGCCGGACGACCTTGTGCTCGCGCCGGACCGGGAGCCGGGCGACCTTGTGCTCTCGTCGGGCCGGGAGCCAGGCGGTGTTGTGCTCTCGCCGGACCGGGAGCCGGGCGGTCTTGTGCTCTCGCCGGACCGAGAGCCGGGTGACCTTGTGCTCTCGCCGGACCGGGAGCCAGGCGATTTTGTGCTCTCGCCGGACCGAGAGCCGGGCGACCTTCCTTGTCCTTTGAGCCGGACGTGGGCTGCACACAGTTGCAGCCTCATTCTCTATCCTTCTGCCCTGTCAGTGGACCGGTGCCAGCTGCATGGTGTGGACGGTGGTTACGTCTGCGGTCGGCCGGGCTTCTCCCGTACGGGCAACACCGTCGAACCATATCACTGTCCCACTTGTGTCATGGTGCCCTTGACGGCTGGAGTTGTCAGGGCTATGCCTTATGGTTTAATCAGGAGTGCAGATGGCAGGACAACGTGCTAAGGTAACCCATGACCTTGACGTATTAGTTGGTGCTTAGCTGGTTGGAGGGACTTCTCATCCTTGCGGTCTGCATTACGCTATGTGACGGCCTTGTATAATGCTTACATGCGTGTGTTATGGATCACCCTTATTTAAAATCTTATCGTGGTCCATGTTTTCTTTTCTGGTTCAAATACATCTTCTCTGAGAATTCGATTAAAAAAGTGCTCACGGACTTAAAGTTTTCACCCCCCCCCCTAGTTTTTGTTCCCTGTAGCAAATGACACTTGTCCTCATTATTATCGGGAAGGACGTATTAAGATAGAGCATATTTAAATACGTTATAATAACTCACACCTTGCCATTCGTCTGCTTTAGCCAGGTCCGCTGGGAAAATTGCTGGTCGATTGTCGTTCGTCCCCTACAATATGTTTTGGTTTATGTCACGTCATTGCCTCACCACGCCATTTCAAATCGCTTGACATAGTCGGCCCCATCTGCGGACTTCTCCAGCTGCCTGCGCCCCGCAGCATCGACGTTTCCGCTTTTGTTCGGTGTATGCAGCCCTGGGCCAGAATAGGGCATTCCCGTGCCAGCGTTCACACTGCAGAAGCAGCCGTAAGAGGGACAGGGTCTTCCGAAAGATCGCTTATGAGCTGGACACGTAGAAAGTTGGAGTATGTCCTGATTTCTGGGTGCTTTGTTCTTTTTATTGTAATTTGTTACCACAATTTCGTTTTACGGGCGAATGTATTGGTCACGATGACGCCAAAGAAACCATAAGATCAATCCGTAGAAGACCCGTAGGAGATGCCGCAGCTTTCTACGTAGCTCCTATGCGACTTAAAAATCGGCAGGTCCCATCCGAAAGTACCGTTTTTGGCACGTGATGTTCGGCACCGTGATGTGCCGCACGTGTGCCGCTGTGCGGCCGAGCTCGTGTAGAGCTGACGCCGGCAGTGTTTGGGAGTCTCCGCTCTGGCCCGGGTATGGTCGGCCGCCTCGCTGGCTGCCGGCGGGGCGTGGCGGCAGCCAGCGAGGCGCGTGTCGTGTCGCGCCATGTTCGTTGTCACGCATGGTGTGCAAAAATGCGTGTGACGTTGCACCCAATCAACCCCATGCACGGGTGAAGAATGCTGAGCTGCTGATGTCGCTGATGTAGGCTGGCCGACGGAGCGTTATTCAGACTGGCAAAACGTTCAAGTCACACAATAATCAATAGAAGTTGGCCAGGCTGCCGACAGACCTACCATGCTGCATTCTCCACTTATGTACCGGTGGTAGTATATTGCCTTGCAAATGTCGCGTCATGCTTATATTTGAGCGATACATTGTTAGCGTTCAACTGCGTTCATAACTCGTATTTCCTATGTGTCCGCTAGCAGTAACTATTCACAATAAACAATGTTCAAATGCTCCTTTGAAGATTCAGACTACCACTCAGCATGAACAAACTTACTTTTTGATTACCTCGTCACTGTGCTATGCAGTGATGACACATTTTGTTTAGAGTCTTTAAACTATTTTAGAGTCTGGTTTATCTTTAATTGTCTGCCTCCCATCGTAGAGCGTGAACATGAGCCTCGCAATGTTGAATTCGACCCCCATACATTTGCTCAAAACGCATCAGACCATGTATTCTCGTGGAAGTCCCGACATTATCAGACAGTGATCTGATGAGACGGCCTCAGGGTTTCGTTGTTCGACGCTCTCTCCGTGGCCTTACCGCCAGGTGACCATGAACAATAAGCATGCCCGGCAGTTACTGCATCTTGCCGTAAGCGGAACACCCGAATAAACGCTGTCTTGAGCCCTCGCCAGCGTGAGTATTTCAAAACTATTCGGTTAAAATTGCAACGCTTAGCATTAACATCAGCGCTTGAATTTCTTTTCACTAATGGTAACATAATTTTACGAGGAATGAAGTACAATGATGAACAAGCTATAAACACAGGCGACACAGTCTCAGCGAGTGATGAGCAGTGCATGCAGTTGTTGCATTATTATTTTCGCGTATCCGGCGGCGGCCTCTGGTATTTTTCTTTTCGCTTCTGCTAGAAACTTTCCAGTTAGTACCCATGACACAAGCACACGCGCAGTGTACAAAGCAGAGGTTCTGTTTCCGGCACTCGGGCGAGATAGCCCGGGTCATGCGCGTGTTGTCGGGCTGGCCGCCGTGGCACGTATGTATGTGGCGGGCCTTCCCCGTTACATTGAGCACGGTGGTCAGAGGATTGATCTAGTGACCCAGAGCGAGGCAGTGTCCTCCCGGATAAAACAACGGACCGGAGGGTCGGTTTGAAGACGAACCATGCCCGTGAACGTCCTGCCGCGGGTGCTGGTTGGTGCAGCGCAGTCCCGCGACAGCAGTCAGCAATTGACTCCACAGTTGCTGCCGTCTCCTGGGAAGGGAGCTGGTCGAGGAAAAGCCCACCGTGTTGCGGCCGAAACCAAAGGCCCGCCACCTACATTGGCACGCGCATTAAACTACTGGTCGGCCGCCGCGGCTGGTCCGGCGTCACGTAACGTCAACGCACGCCGTCTGTTCCAGCCGGCGCGCCGTGCCGTGCCGTGCCGTGCCGTGCCGTGCCGTGCCATGCCGTGGAGATTGGCGTCAAGTCCCGCCCGTGCGCTGGCCCAGTGTGCAGTGACGGCTTTGTGTGGCGCTCGGGCCAGCCAGGCTGCCTTGTGGGCCGGCCCGACTGCCCGTGCGCGTGCCGCCCTTCCGCGGCGCGGGAGTGTGCGGCGGCGGGCGGCGCCTCCGACGGCGCTCGGACGCCCGGACCGGGGTGGTGCGCCGGACCCGGACCCGGGCGCGATCCGGATCGGAGGAGTGGTCCGGATCCGGCCGGCGGGCCAAGGCCGCCGCAGTGAGACAGTGGACCAGCCAGTGAGCCGGGACCAGGCCAGTGGTCGGACCGCGCCGCTCTTCGTCTCTGGCCAGGCGTGCCGCCCAGCGTCGGCGTGTGACAGGCGACGGCCGTTCCGTGTACGGGATGTTCCCAGCGGATGTCGCTCATTGTGTGCGCCGGTGCACTTGCAGGTGCACGTGCTCTGGTCACCAGTGCTGTGGCTTGTGTTCTCGAGTGTTCGAGTGGCGAGTGTTCTCATGACTTTCTTTGGTGCCCGAGGACCGAGTGTGCGAGGAGCCATGACTGCCAGCCGAAGTTTTGTTTTAACGGATGGCATGTATGGGGCTGTGCATCCGCTCTGTGTTGTGTCGATTGGCGTTGCCATAGTAAGGCTACTTGGAAAACGACTTTTGTCTTGTGGTTAGTTTGCATCTTGTCATATGTTGGTAAAGCAATATACATTTAACCTCACTACCTGGGTATATCTTTTTAATTTGCATACATTGTGCGGTGTTCCATGCCGCGTTTTCGATGCATCAAATCGCTGGTTGCTTGATACATACATTACTGAGTGATGGTTGCGTGTTGCCGTCACAAATGCATGGACCGTCGGTAGCAAGGAAATGCATCTATTCATTGCAGACTTTTAAATCTAAAACTGATCTTAACTATGTCTTCACATAAACGTGAGATTGCTCCATGCCGTTTTGCATGGAAGTTCGGTGCTAATAATTGATCGGTAGAACTGATGCATTTTAAAGCGTGAACTATTAACTCGTTAACTTTCAGTTGTACAGAATCAATGCATTTGCGTGCACACGGTTCAGTGAACATTTTTAAAGACAGACGGTTAAAAGAGTCAAAATTCTTTCAGACTTTTTAGAAAATGTATAAAATACGTCGAGGCGTAGAATAGGAAATCAAAAATTTAAGACAAATTAAGAGCGGCCAGCAACAAGGAAGGCCGCGACGGCTTGGGTCCCGCTGGCACGGGAATACTGCCAAACATTTAGCAAATGGGCGCCCGAAGACGAAGAGCAGACACCTGGAACGGTCCCTGCCCAATCGCAATGAAGAGGAACATTTCTGTTCGCCAGATTTCTTGTCATCAAAAGAGGCGAGACGAACTACAGACGGATTGTCAAACATGTGACTGAGTTTGTGAGCGACTTCACGGCGACTGTCGGCTATCTAAGCGACTTCATGGCGACTGTCGGCTATCTAAGCGACTTCATGGCGACTGTCGGCTATTTAAGCGACTTCATGGCGACTGTCGCTCTCTAAGCGACTTCATGGCGACTGTCGGCTATCTAAACGACCTGTAACTAGCCCGTCGCTCCGCCGAGCTTCTAGATTCCGTGCCACTGTCGAGGGAACGATGCGCCGGGCCAAGTGTGAACGGCTGGCATCGTCGTTGTATATCGCTCGCGGATGAGGGGTGAGGTGCTGAGAGGGGATGGCTCGCAGTGATGGAAGTGATAGGGTCCGGACATTCCTATGGCCTGTGTGCTTCATACCGTCATTTAGGCTCATGCCTTCAATTTTGTATGTATAGTTGCGCATGGGTGTTCTTGTGACTGCGGCGCTTGCCTTGAACAGACGTTTTTGGATGACATATAAATGCATGGTTAAGATGATGGTGATGAATGGCACAGGGATGTATGCCGAACGTGATGATGAAAAGTGACCGGCATGGCACCGCGGACGAAGAACGCCTATGACAAGTGGGACTGCGAATAGATTTCATGGTCATGGTCATGTGTCATATGGTTGAGTACAAGGAATAAACATCCCACAGGTCGCGCCGTTGTGTGTGAATTGCACGGTTCTCAAGACGCGTATTAGCTACTGCGTTCAGCTGTTTATGGGCGCGTGATGTCACCACATTGGTCAACGGGTACGGACAGTTCCCGCTCATTCTGCCAGAGTGCGGATGTCACTGGTGTCGCGGCACGAGATCACGACACTCGCTTTATGGGAGGCATGTCAGGTCATGCGGGACGCACCGAGCCGCTCAGCCGTGCTGGGTCTACGCCAGGTGGTGTCACTGTCGCTCCCGCCAGGCTGGGCAGCATGACGGCCGGAACGCCTCGACAGTCGGCGAGCGGCCATACGCAGTGCCGCCCCGCTGTGCCGGCACGCTGCCCGTAGCCCCTCGCTCGGCCCGGAGGCCGGTTGGCGACCGGTGTCGACGGAGCGGCGGCGCCGCCCGGCCCTGACGGAGTGAGCGCGCGCGCGCGCGCTGGCAGGCCGTCGGCGCTGGTCGGCGCCGACCGCCAGTGGACGCCATGGTCTGGGCGGGCGTGCTGGCCGCCCTGCTGCTGGCGCGGCTGGCCTCGGCCGGCCCGCCGGCCGCCGCTCCGGTCGGTAAGTGCTCCGGGCTCGACCTCTGACAGAGGAGGAGACCTCCGTCGCCTCTGAGGACCTGCGGGCGCTGTGCGTGCGTCTCGCGGCCCCTGCGGCGGCACGCACTCGAGTCGCCTGTTGAGCGCCGGGCAACGGCAGCTTAAGTCCGAGCCTCGCACCGAGAGCCCTGTGCCCTTCAGGAGCAGCCCTCCACCCCATGCTCGCAGCCTCCTTCCCCCCCACACGCGTCGGGTGACTACAAATTTGGATGTTGTTTTGGAAACGTCAACGCGCTGTTGTGCGCGTGTCGAGCAATCGGCCGCATAGACAGAGGACAAGCAGCCGATGGCGTGGACGAGTCACTGAGGGGAGGCGAGTGCCCGCAGGCAGGGCTCGGGACCAATCAGAGCGGACCTGACACCGGACGTGACGCCTCACCCCCCTCCCGCGGGGTATGCACGAAAAGGCCTGTGTGGTAGCTGCCTATCTGCGGCACAACGTTCAGTAGTCATCTGTGGCATGACTTTGTTGGATGGTGGGTACTCATTTGCGGATCTGGAGAAGCCAGGGCGATTATGGCCTCACTCCCCGCCTTCCAAAGCAGTGTAATAAGTGCGTTTTCCTCCCGGGCTTGGTTTTTAGATAGTGAGTTATGTATGGGTGCGGTGCCCGGACCGTGTCTCCTTCCTCAGCATTCAGTATTGGGCCGGCCCGTGCACTTGATCGGTAATAAGCTGTGGTAGTTCTTAGCTGTAGAAATGGGGACGAGCTAAGGATTTTTTCATGCGAAAATGACTGTCCAGTAACCTTCGTAATTATGCAGTGTATGTATGTATATATATATATATATATATATATATATATATATATATATATATATATATATATGTTCGTTGGTTGCTAGAATAATGTAGCAATGATCAGTTGCATTCGTAGTAATAAGTCAGTGTCAAGACATTCATGATAAAAATAGGCTGACGTGCCCGGAGCGAGCTACGATACAACTGACGAGAACCGCATGAAAGGCGTGGAGTACGGCGACTGTACGGCGGTATTTTTCAGTATCGTACCAGCCCCAGCGTAATATGATGTAAAACGCCATGGGACGCACGTGATTCGCTTCCGCAACGTGGCGGACAATGAACATAAACCATGCACACTTAAAAAATATATATTTATGCTATGACCGTTACCGTTCGGAACAAGTCCATTTCACCATCTCAGATCAAGTACGTGCGCCGTTAGTTACCTGATTTCGTGTTATAGAGTATTGCAGATAACGTCGTGTAACCCGAAGAGCGACGGAATGACAAGACGCACACTCGCATACGCGCAGTGTTACATAATCATGTCCCAAACGACCAAATCATAGATATCAAAAAGCATCGCTGCACACTTCATACTGGCATATAGATGCATACAAACAAAGGAAGTGCATAATCAACAAAAGCCATTTGGCCCGGTGGTGGACGTAGAAGTCCTGCTTCTACAAGCGTTCGCCAGTTTGCTCGCGGCTGGCATCCGTTGCACGTGACAAGTTACGCGGTTATCTGCCGTACTGGCGACTAGAACCGGCCTGCGTAGCGGCGTCGACCCTGCCCCGGCCATCACTCGCTCTTTTTGCTTTCGTCGCGCTTGTTCATGCAGTCGCGCACAATGCCGTCCCAGGAGTAGTGGAAGAAGGCGACGACCAGGCGGAACAACGGCATGAGCAGCACCTCGCGCGCTAACTGGCCGGCCGAGCTGACCGGACCCATGCCCAGACCGACGGTGGTCATAAGCATGCCTTCCGAGCCCACTGTGCTGGTAATGTTTCCGCGCATCATGTCGCGCAGCAGCTGAGCGGCCACCTCGTCCGGCGAGAAGAGCCCGGCCGTGGCGCAGATGAGCCGCGTCTCCTCCGGCTTGGTGCGGTTCTCCTCCTCGAAGCCGGCTGTGTCCGTGTCGGGTGGGTAGCAGAGCGTCACGCCCACGCCGTACGGCTTCAGCTCCTGCGCCAGCGTCTGGCCCAGCCCGACCAGCGCGTACTTGGAGGCGCAGTAGCCGGCGAAGCCCCACAGGCCGACCACGCCGCCGAGCGAGCTCACTAGCGCCAGCCGGCCCTCGCGCCGCGCCTTCATCGCCGGCACCACCGCGTGCAGCACATTCACCACGCCAAAGTAGTTGACATCCATCAGCCGGCGGTACGTCTCCAGCGGCATCTCTTCGAAGCGCTGCGCCAGGGCGAAGCCGGCGCAGCAGGCGGCCAGGTGGATGGGCCCCAGTTCCTGCTCGGCGCGCGCCACAACGTTGCGCACGGCCGCCGCATCGCCGGCTACGTCCACAGGCAGGCAGAGGACGCGCGCGCCCGGCGTGGCCGCCAGCAGCCGGGCGCGCGCCGCCTCCAGCCGAGCCGCGTCGCGCGCCACCAGCGTCACGTGCGCGCCGTGCCGCGCCGCCCGCAGCGCCAGGCTGCGGCCGATGCCGCTCGCGCCGCCCGGCCCCCGCACATGGCGGCCGGCCCGCGCATAGCGGCGCGGCCAGCGGGCGGCCAGCAGCCGGCGGCCGGCCAGCAGCAGCAAAAGCGCGGCCAGCGCCGCCAGCAGCAGCCACCACATGGTGCCGAGCGATGGACGTGAACGCGGGGCAGTCCCGAGCGTGGGGCGCGTCCGACCGGCGTGGAGCGCGGCAGACTCGTGTGTGACCCGGCCGGCGGACGGCGGCTGAAATTACAGGACACGTGCAACTGACAGCTGTGGTAATTGGCCCCGATAGCGGGGTCGATACGGCGTAATGAGCTGATTAGCGCGGTCCTCCTGGGACAATGAGCTGAACGTTTAGCCGAGAGTGACGTCGGCTGGGAGTGGGCCCAATCTCGCCTTTCATTAGCACCGTCGTCAGCCATCAGCGGTGAAGAGTGATCGCTGGTGACGCTTCGCCCGCGCGCGCTGCTAGGGAGGAGTCCCAAAGTGCAAGGAGACCGAAGTTGTTCACATTTATAAATGTGCTGAAACCACCTATGTCATGGAGGTCATTCATTCATTCATTCATTCATGGTTAGTCAACACTCAGCGAAGCAACGATACGATAACGCGATAGACGATAGTGCTGGTGCATTCGGCAAACGGCGAAGAAACCCATGTCCGTTACTTGGTTATCCCAGGATGCAGCTCTCCCAAACACTTCATCTGAACACGTGAAACCCCAAACCCCTGTTATTGGCCCTGTCGCACACCCAATACCGATCCTAAACACATTCAGCAGGTCCCTGTCAGATTATCGACTTCATGCTGCGGATAACTGCAGCGCTGTGATCAGCGTGCCTGGTCCGGCACGATATCCATACGCGAAAGAGCTCCAAATCGCCGGTTCCGCGACGTCATTATTGCAAATATCTTCACAGACTGGGTGCCTAGTGAACTTTGAACATATTGGTGTAGCTGTTGTCGTGAGACAAACACCGACCCAAAAGTTGCAGAGCCAGCGTCGTCATCATTGCCGGGCGCCACCGCGTGCTTGGGGTCCGGTCCGGTCGGCCAGTCAGTTTTAATGGGCTTGTTTCCTCGCAGCCACTCATTGTACCTATGTCGTTGTCCTAATTCCCAAAAGGTTGTGCTGTTACACTCACAGCGTGCTTGGAGACAACCTGTTTGATCAATAAAATTTGAAATTCGCTCGATTTGAAGAGAAAGTTGAGAAAAGATCGTAATTCAAACAGGCCAGGAGCATGGTTCGCAAGTGGGTCTTTATATCGGGGACGCAGGGTGGCAGTGACGCGGGACAATCGCTACCTGAGGCGGAGGAAGCGGACAATCCGGCCGCCATCAGTGTGGGTCTTTATATCGGGGACGCAGGGTGGCAGTGACGCGGGACAATCGCTACCTGAGGCCGAGGGAACGGACAATCCGGCCGCCAGCAGTGTGGGTCTTTATATCGGGGACGCAGGGTGGCAGTGACGCGGGGCAATCGCTACCTGAGGCGGAGGGAACGGACAATCCGGCCGCCAGCAGTGTGGGTCTTTGTATCGGGGACGCAGGGTGGCAGTGACGCGGGACAATCGCTACCTGAGGCCGAGGGAACGGACAATCCGGCTGCCATCAGTGTGGGTCTTTGTATCGGGGACGCAGGGTGGCAGTGACGCGGGGCAATCGCTACCTGAGGCCGAGGGAACGGACAATCCGGCCGCCAGCAGTGTGGGTCTTTATATCGGGGACGCAGGGTGGCAGTGACGCGGGACAATCGCTACCTGAGGCGGAGGGAACGGACAATCCGGCCGCCAGCAGTGTGGGTCTTTATATCGGGGACGCAGGGTGGCAGTGACGCGGGACAATCGCTACCTGAGGCCGAGGGAACGGACAATCCAGCCGCCAGCAGTGTGGGTCTTTATATCGGGGACGCAGGGTGGCAGTGACGCGGGACAATCGCTACCTGAGGCGGAGGGAACGGACAATCCGGCCGCCATCAGTGTGGGTCTCTATGTGCGCAATCAGTAATGTGCACCAAAGCAACAGGAGTGGTGATTGTGGAGTGTTTTTAAGGACCCAATGTCCCATATGTACAACTGGAGCACATAAAGACACAAAACAGGCAATCCATGATAAAACCATCTAATGACAAACAATAGCAAATCCATCTAACAAACCATAGTGAAACCATTTTCTACCAAACCTAGTAAAACCATCTTCTAACAAACCATAGTGAAACCATATAACAAACCCAGTAAAATCATCTAACAAACCATAGTAAAATCACCTAACAAACCACCACAAAGCTATCTCCCAATTCACATCCTTCGGCACCTCAGCTATGTTTCGTGAAATTGGGAAAGATATTCCAGTCTGCATGGGTGTGCCTGGAAGTGGAGTAATGACAGCAAAAATGTGATATTTATGAATGCATACTTCCATCCTTGACCAGTCCTTTTGCTTTGCCTGAGGTGTGCTGGAGTGACATCTTATGACACATCTGCAACAAAAGTTGAAGTTCCCAGCTGATGGCACATTCCACAGCATCTTTCCACTCTATATGTCTGTGACTTGTTTTCTGCTTAAACATCTGAACAGACCACAACATAGTTTTGTGGTACATGCTGGACATGAGCACATATCAAGGTGTTATGTCAGAATAAGGATTTTGAGAGACAGAGCTTGATTAGAATGCATTAGGACAACTTTTGCCTTTGTTTGTAAGCTGTTTTTGGTCAGAATGAGGGCCAAGAGGCAGGGGACCCTGCCCCCCTGCCTGCAACCCATAAATTAGTAATGCCTGACCACCTTGTCAAAGTGTGGGCATAATGCACTCAAACAATTGGGCACGACTTGATGACCTCAGCTTTCTGCACCAAGATGGACAACCAAAACCTATTTAGACCAACTGGTGGCATATAGCTCCAAAGGCAAACAGAGCTAAAACCTGAGGAACTTGACCCTGGGTGATTTTATTGCCTCAAGACTTACAAACCTTCAATCTTAGCAGTGTACTGCATGCATGCCTGTACTAAGCAGCCCTGATTTGATCTATCCAGAGCACTAAATAACAAGATGCATGCAGCATTACCATTGCAACAAAAATGTCAGGATAATGTAAACACATAAGGCAAGAAATCAGAGGGCATATAAATAATAAGCATGACTGTGTGTAATAGGCAGGTAATGTCATATTCATTTTTAGCAATGGTTTGCAATTTTACATGCATTGTTCAGCATAGCTGACAGAGATGTGGTTGGTGATGTAATAGCCATGCCTATAAAAACCTATCACTGTGCCAACTTAGAAAAACTTGAGAACCATGAGAGAGCCATGAGACATGAGAACCTGCTAGCAAGCATCTCAGTTATACTCCAACAACAATCATTCTGCAAATATTGGCTTTAGGGTAGTATGTATATGATAACCAACATCCGGTGAGCATTGCATGTTGACACCTGTCACAGCAGTCTACAATGTTACTGCCCAAACCAAAGCATGAGTAAATGTCTGTCTGTTAAATATGTGTCTTGATGGTTATCAATCAGCTCACTATAACCAGTTTAAGTGAACTAGCAAAAATGAAATTGCTCTTTTATGGTGCAGTGTTCAGTATAATATTTGACCATGCCTACCTGTTCAAACTACAAGCCGTCATATCCCCAACAATGCTGTGTAGATGCCAAATACAAGTTCATGATCCCTATAGATATTACAGCACTATTGGAAATTGGGTTTTGGTTCTTGGGGGAGAGAACAAAAATATTAAAATTGCAGCTTGTAGTGAGAAAAAATGGCCCAAGAGAGTTTGCACTGCATTCACAGCTGGCACTAAAGGACATTCTTTGGCAGGCAGATGATGGTAAACAACATGCTCTCAGCTGGTCTCAGTGATTGCCAAAGACCATTAGAAACTGGATACTTGCAATTTTTAAATTTTCTAGCTTCCTAAGTAAGTGCTTCCTTTCTATGTCTATGCTTGCGACCTACCATATTTTTTAAGCTGAGCTGATAGAAAATTGCTGATATTGATAATTCTTCTGTAAGGTGTCAGTCCCAATACAGGCTGATAGAAGCAGATGCTCAACATTTTGTGCACCAGTTGCACCATTCCCTGGAGCACATAATGCTATGTTTATGATTGAAATATCATGCAAGCCACAATGTAAATAGGAGCATCTGGGGCATAGTAATTAGTGCAGTTACATTCTAGCTAATGTGCAATCTTTCTCACCCAGAGGAAAGATTCTGGGGTCATGTGATACCTGCCTAGGCTTTTATTGAGCTAGGATGTACTTAATTTGAGAACAGTGTGTAGTTCCTATTTACTTGGATGGATGGCACTCCCCAACTGAGGAAAAAAAAACTTGGTCAAAATCAGGTAGAACATGGTTTGCACCCATTCCTTAGGGATACGAGATTCTCTGCTCGCCCGCTCCACAAAGTTATGTACAAAACTACACGCACCTGGGACGTCGGGCTGCTGCGTGATCGGGGCTCGGGAGGCCAATGCAGCAGGGGCGGAGGAATAATTTCCTCCTCCAGAGCAATCCAGCCGCATAAAGTTAGCATCACTGCATCTACTTACCATGCGTTGAGTCTGAAACAATACTTTTCGCAGTGTATGACAATGAGCTAAATTTATGTATTGCTTTATCCACACCACCCAGCCGCCCCACCACCGCCCCTCGTGCGGCTCCTCCAAAACAAGGTCGGTTGGATACATAACTGGCGCGCAAGCAAGATCAGTCTTCAACGACAGAGCCGCTGTACGCTATTAATCGGTTTTACTATTGCTTTTTAGGAACTTTCCTATTTTGTTAAAAATGGCCGGTAAAACCTGGCTAAAATAAAGGTGAAATCTCAAAAACCTAAAAAGTCAAATAACACACCAGTAATAGTTATGTTCAACGGAGAATAAGAAACCCTGCTTTAGCTTTATACTCAGGTCATGATTTTGTGGCGACGCTCTGTAGACCGATAGAAAAAAATCCATACTTTTGTTTAATGACCC